CTTTCATTATCCCTCTACCTATTGCTGGCAGTCATTTTTAAGTAGCTTTGGATTTTATGCCAAAAGATCTTCTGCTTGTTGACAGATTCTGTGAACATCCGGTGTTCTCTTCTTTTGCACTATCCAAGAAAGACGAGTTTGGGAATTTACTAACACATCCTAAAGTTAAATACTTTTTGTTCTGGGATAACTGAAAAGTTTAGGTACACTCCAAAAGGCAGCCCATCTTCATTTTTCAGGAGGGTCACTGTGATGTTCTGACTTTCTGAGTCTCGTGTCTTGTACCTTTCTGTGCTCTTTCGCAATTAACTAAAGCAGAGGGAGATACTTTTGTAAAATGCCCAAAGAAAAGAAAGCCAGATGGAAGTGAGGAGTAAGAGTAACGACAGGTGCTTTCCTCTTCCATCAGTCTTTAAAAACTTTTTATTTTGAAGTAACGTTAGATTTAGAGAAATGTTGCAAAGTTAGTACGGAGCTCATGTACACTTCACTCAGTTTCTCCTAATGTTAACATCTTACATAACCATATTAAACTGTCGTTAATATAATTATCAAAATTGGGAATTTAAATTGGTCTAATACTTCCAGCTAAACAACAGACCTTACTAGCTTTCTATCCAGTTTTCCACTATCCTTTTTTTCTGTTCTATGATCCAATCCAAGATCCACATTGTATTGAGTTGTTCTGACTCCTTAAACTATCAGTTTGTGATAGTTCCTTGTCATTCCTTGTCAGTTGTTTCTGGTCAGTTGTCATGTGGAATGACTCTAGATTTGGGGCTGTCTGATGTTTTCTAATGTTTACTTTTAGGTTATGCTTTTTTTTTTTTAAAGAATACCACAAAAGCAATGATGTATCTTTTTTATTGTCTCATAACAGAGGTTACTTGATGTCAGTTTCCCTTATTGCTAGTGCCATTAGTGTGGACTCATCATGGACAGTTACTTCATTCTGTGGGTTATAACCCAATATTATCATCATTATTTTGTTGTTTAAATTATTCTAGCTCTGGCCACTGGGAGCTCCTTCAAGCTGACTCTGATGTCCTTTTGACGTGCTTCTATCTTTTTTCAAGTACTTCCTCACTTTATGGCATTCTCTGATGCTCCAGGCTAATCTTGTATTTTCCTTGCCCTACTTTTGGAATTGATCACTTCTCTAAGGAGCCTGGGTCCTTTTATTGGACAATGGTGTTTAGAAACCAGTATCTGGGTACCAGACAGGCACATTGCAACTGGGGTAGCGTTGCCTTTGTCTTCCATGAGTTTTATGGTAAGCTCTTTCCTGTGAACATGGTTGTTCCAGGTCTGAAACTCATTTTTGATACTTCTAGGTAGTCGGTCACTTTGATGTAAAGTCATTTTGATCACTTAATGTTGAGTTGTTAAAATCAATGCACATACCCTGTAGAAAAATAGGTACTTTGATTATCAATGTAATAGATTAACTTTTTGTGGAAAAATGCTTTTACATTGACGGGCTAGCATTAGCATCCAGACGTTTTTGACATACCTTCAATAACTGTTTCTGGGTTTTTTACCTCATTTTTAGCCCATTACATTTTTTAAAAATTTTGTGTATATATATATTTTTGAGATGGAGTCTTGCTCTGTCGCCAGGCTGGAGTGCAGTGGTATGGTCTTGGCTCACTGCAACCTCCCCTTCCTGGGTTCAAGCGATTCTCCTGCCTCAGCCTCCCAAGTAGCTGGGACTACAGGTGCGCAACACCATGCCCAACTAATTTTTGTATTTTTAGTAGAGACGGGATTTCACCATGTTGGCCAGGGTGGTCTCAATCTCTTGACCTCGTGATCCGCCCGCCTTGGCCTCCCAAAGTACTGGGATTACCCAGGTGTGAGCTACCGCGCCCGGCCCCTATTCCATATTTTAATGAGAATATCTTTTGGTTAGTTATAGAGGTAAATACCTGATTTACAACGTCTAAGTACAGATTCATCATCCTATAATAAAGTAACTCTTTTTGCATAAACTTTTGATAAGTTATTTTTGTCCTTATAATTTGATGTGTGAAGTCTTTACAGTCAGATGACATTGACAAACTATTTAAGATTGAAAGCCTGTTCTCCTTGATGATTCAGTGATTCAGTAGAACTTCTTTTGACTGCTGTTTTTAGTTCTTGCAAAGTAGATCTTGTTTAGATGAGATTCCAGCATGACTCCTTTGTAATTTTTCATATTTCTGCTATTATATCTCAACTCTTCGTGAAAACCAAACATGCATTCAAGGCACATTCCACATGTGGCTAATGGGGTTATCATCGTTACAAAGCGTATTTATCCACAGTGATAATTATCTTCTTAAGCATTTTGTTCTATTTCAGAACTCATTTGTGGGCCTTACCACCTGTTTCTTATATATGGGTAAAGAGTCTCTTATTCTCTTTCAGAATATAGATCTAAGAGTAGATTTATATCAGGATTTAAAAGATGAATCTTTTTCAAGGATGTTTTTCCTCTGGACCATGGCATTTTGTAAGAAATTTCCCTATTCATCCCATCCCTGGTGCACATTAATTTGGAGGTGATGTTAAATGTGTCTGTGTGGCACAAATCTCAACTGGCAAATACAGCCTAGCATTGAATTGTGTGCAGTTCAGAAACATGGCTGGCTGGCTCTGACCCTGAATGTGTAAATTATCTTTGCAGCAATAAGAGAACTTGAAGTAGCTTTGATAACTAATCATTGTATGATAACTCAGCCAGAAGAATTTACTAAGAGCAGTTTGTGTGTCTTCCACCTAATGTAAAGGTGAATAATGTAAGTCATATTCTTGGTGCCTTTAGACCTAGTTATGTAGAGAGATGTCACATTGAAATTCAGTAATTCTTACTCTTAACAGTACCTTAACTCTAAAATCATCATTTTCTTTACCTTTCCCTACTTCTAGAACAGCAAATAGTTTACTTCGATTCTATTATTAATTAATAAGTGTACTGGTTTGAATTTTTCTCTTCTAAAAAATGTAGGCCAGGCATCGTGGCTCACACCTGTAATCCCAGGACTTTGGGAGGTCGAGGTGGGTGGATCACCTGAGGTCAGGAGTCTGAGACCAGTCTGACCAAATGTGGCGAAACCCTGGCTCTACTAAAAATACAAAAATTAGCTGGGCGTGGTGGTATGCGCCTGTAGTCCCAGCTACTCTGGAGGCTAAGGCATGAGAATCACTTGAACCTGGGAGGCAGAGGTTGCCGTGAGCCAAGATCACACCACTGCATTCCAGCCTGGGTGACAGAACAAGTCTGTCTCAAAAAAAAAAAAAAAAAGAAGTAAAATTATTTTGGCCTTACCATGCTTGGTTTCTTTGTCTTTGTTTTTTCATTAACTTTATGTTTGGGGAGGAGAATGGAGTGTCAGTGATTTCAGCAAAACAGTTTCCCATCCTGTGGAATCTTGACTTTGGGGTACCAGTTCATAAATAAATTAGTATCTAAGATTAATGTTACAGCTGATATTCAAAGTACCAAATATGTTATTGTTCTGATTATTATGGTCCTTAAATTTGTATTTTTCCTGGAGACATATGTGGTAAACAATGATAATGATTCTAATAATGGCCATTTATTGAACGAGCACTGTGTAGCAGACATTGTACTGGTGACATGATTTGGCTCTGTGTCCCTACCCAAATCTCATCTCAAATTGTTATCCCCACATGTTGAGGGAGGGACCTGGTGGGAAGTGATTAGATCATGAGGATGGTTTACCCCATGCTGTCCTCTTGATAGTGAGGGAGTTCTCATAAGATCTAATGGTTTAAAAGTGTTTGGCAGTTTCCCCCTTGCACCCGCGTCTCTCTCTGTCTCTCCTGCTGTCATGTGAAGAAGAGGTCCTTGCCTCCCCTTGGCCTTCCGCCATGATTATAAGTTTCCTGGCTGGGTGCAGTGGCTCACACCTATAATCCCAGCACTTTGGGAGGCCAAGGCAGGCAGATCACTTGAGGTCAGGAGTTGAAGACCAGTCTGGCCAACATGACAAAACCTGTCTCTACTAAAAAAATAACAATTAGCCGGGCGGGTGGCACACACCTGTAATCTCAGCTATTCGGGAAGCTGAGGCAGGAGAATCAAATTGAACCTGACAAATGGAGGTGGTAGTGAGCCAAGATTGTGCCACTGCACTTTAGCCTGGGTGACAGCAAGACTCTGTCTCAAAAAATAATGATAATAGTAAGTTTCCTGAGGCTTCCCTATCCAGTCAGAACTGTGAGTCAATTAAACCTTTTTTCTTCATAAATTGCCCAGTCTCAGGTAGTTCTTTATAGCAGTGTGAAAATGGACTAATGCAATAGGGCAGTGTCTGACAGTTTGCAAATACCATCTCATTTGTTTTTAATAGAAACCTTCAGCCGGGAGTGGTGGTTCACGCCTGTAATCCCAGCTCTTTGGGAGGCTGGGGCAGGCAGATCACATGGTCAGGAGTTCGAGACCAGCCTGACCAACATGATAAAACCTTGTATCTACTAAAAATAGAAAAATTAGCTGGGCGTGGTGGTATGCACCTGTAATCCCAGCTACTCAGGAGACTGAGGCAAGAGAATCACTTGAACCCGGGAGGCAGAGGTTGCAGTGAGCTGAGATTGTGCCACTGCACTCCAGCCTGGGCAACAAAGTAAGACTCTGTCTCAAAAAAAAAAAAAAAAAAAAAAAAAAGGAACCCCCTAATACTAGCCATGAGGCAAGATAATCACTCTCAGATAGTAAAGCATGTGCTTAACTGTATGTTAAGTTCTGAATTCACACACAGGTTCCTATGGAGACACAGGGAAGGGGCATCTAAAACAGGCAGAGAGTATCAGGAAGGACTTCCTGGAGGAGGAAGTGCCTACACTCAGTCTTAAAGAGCATGTGGGAGGAAAAACCAATGAAGCCCTCCTGCTCTAAACAGAATGATCAGCCTGGGCAAAGATGTAGAGGGGTAAGAGAGCATTAAACATGAGGCAGCTGTGTAATACTGTTTCCTGTAATCTCTTCTCTACAGGTGGAGAGGCAGGGAGAGACCAAATGATGAATGACTGTGAGTGCCATGCCATAGTAAAATTCTGGGTTTTAAAAGAGAAGAAGCATGATCAGGCTGGGGATGTTGAGGGGAAAGAAGGGGGATAGAGATGGAGACCACCCAGTGGCCCACTCTCCCTCAGTGCTTTGGAAATGAACAGAGAGCTGCTGTGCCCAGATTTTATTATGGGTTGAGCAGTGATCAGGATGGGAGAGAGTAATGATAATGGAACTCACTGGCCCATACACCAGATGGCATTTGAGGGGATTGCCAGGTCTTTGTTGTCAGGGGGCCCTGTGTTCTGACTCCCTTCCTATTAGAATAGGTGGTGATTAAACAAGCTCTGCCACACCCTAAATTCTGGTTCTGGGTTTTACTATTCAGTCAGTTTTATCAAATTAAGATGATCATGTCTTCCCTTTTGAAAAATTATAGGGGAAGAAAAACCATAGAGCTTTCCCCCAGTATATGGCATTGAATTACACATATTCCTACACACACACACACACTCGCACATATATACGTACATACATATATAATAGAACTTTTATATAATATGTAAAATTTTTAAAAATATATTTTTAGAAGGGCTGGAAGTGGTAGGGGCAGTGACTCACACCTGTAATCCCAGCACTTTGGGAGGCCAAGGCAGGTGGATCACCTGAGGTCAGGAGTTGGAGACTAGCCTAACATGGTAAAACCCTGTCTCTACTAAAAATATAAAATTAGCCGGGTGTGGTGGTGCATGCCTGTAATCCCAGCTACTTAGGAGGCTGAGACAGAAGAATCGCTTGAACCCAGGAGGTCGAGGTTGTAGTGAGCTGAGATCCCACCATTGTACTCCAGCCTGGGCAACAAGAGCGAAATTCTGTATGTGTGTATATGTATATACACACACACACATTTATTTTTATATATTTATATACACATATATATTTTATTTACATCTATTTTTATATGTATACATATATTTTTTTAGAAAATAAAAGATGCAATATGTCAGTGCTTTGTTATGACAGTGGTAGCTACAAAGGAAGATTAAAGCTTTTTAAAAAGTAGATAAAAATTTATCTACTTTTTAGTAGATAAAAATTCTTTTTTATCTACTTTTTTGTGGAGAGGACTGAAACTAGTAAGCTCTTGAAATGTATTCAGCCTCTCATCAAATATATATGGACCCACCATATGTTCTTACTACTGTGGAAACAGCAGAAAGGAAAAACAAAGTCCCTGCTCTCAGAAGGTTTAGAATGAGATAAGGCAGGCTACTGAGTTGGCTTAAAAACTAAGAAGAAACTAGTGAGGTGTAGTTGCCCGTTCAGATTTTTATTTTTAAGTGTTTTATGCCCAAGGAAAACTGGGGGTCTGGGACTTGAATTCTAGTTTTATGTTTTCCTGGGTCATTCTCTAAAACAGGGTCTTAGACTAGTAATTAATACAATGGCACTCTCTTTCACCTTCCTCAATTCATTTGCATGCTTGTTGGGTCATTCGGAGTGGCACTGAGGTAAACTTTGGCATATCAAAATCCACTTGAAAGCAGATGGTTAGCAAGGTGCAGTGGCTTATGCCTATAATCCCAGCATGTTGGGAGGCCAAGGCGGGTGGATCACTTGGGGTCAGAAGTTCAAGACCAGCCTGGCCAATATGGTGAAATCCCGTCTCTACTATAAATACAAAAATTAGCTGGGTGTGGTGACACACCTGTAGTCCCAGCGATTTGGGAGGCTGAGGCAGGAGAATCGCTTGAATTCGGGAAGCAGAGGTTGCAGTGAGCCAAGATCGTGCCATTGCTCTCCAGCCTGGGTGTTGCAGCAAGACTCCATCTCAAAAAAGAAGAAAAGAAAAAGAAAAGGAGATGGCTGTGCCTGTTAAACACTGGTTTGGTTGAGTACCTCTCCTGTGGGCTTGTTGGTTCTTGCGCAGATTCCTGCTCCTGCCCAAGTCCAGGACCAGCTGCACATACCTGCACATGTGCCTCACCCAGGGCTGGATGGCTAGCCTTGTTCTCTTCACCCAACCCAGCAGCAGAGTGCTAGGAAAATTTGCTGGCAGGGCTGTAAGAACCTCTGTAGTTTCTTCCCATTTCCTTGTTCTCCTAACTTACTACGTTGGGAGGAAATACTATGGTGTGGTGGTAAGGATTTTAGGCAAAGAAAAAAGCACTGAAATGGATGTGGTGTTAAAATTAGGCCAATCTTTTGGAAACACCTTAGCAACCTCCTTTCATGTTCTTGGTACGTTTACCCGGTTGTATTGTAATGTTCATTTTTCCTTGTGAAAATCTCTGTGTGTGTGCGTATATGTGTGTAATTTATCTAGTGTCATGGAATCTTTGAAGGAAAGACTAAAAAACTTTCAGAATTATAATGGTTTCATTTGTTGTATAGCACATTCTACATGACAATAGACCAACTCTCCTTTATCAGTATTTGTGTATTCTCTTAAAGAGCTAAAAGAAATCATTTTTAAAAATTTATTTATATATAATGTTGGCCAATGTTACCTATAAGAAAAGATCATTGTTTCAGAGCATGTAGGATGAAGATGATTGACTTTAGGGCATTTACATGTGGAAACTGTCAAGGTAGTTGGAGTTTACAAGAGTGAGCTGTCTCTCTAGGCACTTCAGGAGGAGTGCCGTGATCACGCCGGCTGATTTGGTCAGTCTGTCTTTCATCAAGCCAGGGAGATAAACAGTAAACAGAATTGAAAAATTGTTCACAAAGTTTGTCAGTTACTAGGGTGTGGCTGATGAACCACACCTGAAGAGCTACCTAGATGAGGACAACTCATAGAGTTACTTAACAGCCTCCACCCCAGTTGATGGTCCAGATTGTCTCCAAGGGAGGTGAACTAAGCCAGTGTTGAGACTGAGTGGGATAAGGCCATGGTGATATGCATAATAGATGCATTCATACACATTGCTTCAACAGAGCATTTTCTTGGATGGAAGCATGGGAAATAACACATGGGCATATACTCACGCTTGTTGTTAGCTTTAGGGGTCACTGCTGATCTCTGTCCTTCCTTGTTCAGTGGGACTTGAACTTCTGCAAGATCATTGAAAATCTTCATGTTCTCAGAACTCAAAGGAAGGAAAACTTGATCCCTAACCCTTCAGAAAGCTGGTTGAAAAAAAAAGATTTTCCACAAATAGCAATTGGCTTTACCTAGTATTATTTACCACATTATTAAACTACTAATCGCAGTGGTGTTATTATAGTGCCACTATATTATTTTATTATATTATTTTAATTTAGATAACACTTTATAAATTTATTGTTTATAAATTAAATAGATTTGCTTAACAGTTGTTTGGGAATTCCTTAAACTTCATTGCTAGCTACAAGTCCATTTTAAATAGAATCAATAGGCTGGGCATGGTGGCTCACACCTGTAATCCCAGCACTTTGGGAGGCCGAGGAGGGTGGAACACCTGAGGTCAGGAGTTCAAAACCAGCCTGGCCAACATGGTGAAACCCCATCTCTACTAAAATACAAAAAATTAGCTGGGTGTGGTGTCATGCCACCTATAGTCCCAGCTACTAAAAGGGCTGAGACAGGAGAATCATTTGAACCCAGGAGGTGGAGGTTGCAATGAGCCGAGATTGCTCCACTGCACTCCAGCCTGGGTGACAGAGTGAGACTCTGTCTCAAAACATAAATAAATAAATTAAATTAAATAACGAGTAGATTCAATAGACATTGATCCTGTTAACATATTTTGCCTTTTAGTCTATTGGTACTTCTTTCATTCCCTTTGAAGTTAATTCTAAATAAAGGAGAAGTATCTTAATTTGATTAATATCATAGTTTGGAACTATAGCAAAATTTTTTTTTCTCAGGCTACTGGCAAGTATTTTATATTCACTGAAGAAAATTTTAAAAATTTCAAATTACGTATGCACTTTACCACTCTCACAAATGTTTTTATCTTTCTTATACATATATTTATGTTATTTAATTTTTATTTGGAATGCTTTTTTTATATGATACCTCATATAAATGAGGTATCAGGACTTCCCACTCATTCATGAAGCCTTTACAATTATAATGATAAATATTGTTACATTAATGTACAATAATTTCTAAAGCTGACTTTCTTATGTTTAAAATTTAGATTGTGTCTAATTCTTTGCTACTTTAAGTATCATCGCAGTGAAATCTTCAGGCCATAATAAGTTATTTCCTTGTGATAAATTCACAAGAATAACTAGATTAAAGGTATGAATACATTTTAATTTGGTTAAACACTTACGTTTACCAAAACTCTTTATAAAAGTAGCACACAATTATCCTAATAAATTAGAATATTAGAAGTATATAAGATGAAAAAAAATTCTCACTGAACTGCAGTCCTGCTCTCCAAAGTGAACCATGATGAGACCTTAAGCAAATGTTACGTAGAATGAGAAAAGATAGTCCTGAAGAATTGAGTGATATGGAAGTGATAATGGTGTACTATATAGGTGAAAAAATAAAGTACTGGTTTAGATACGTGATATAAAAAATAGAATCCTGGCAGTTCCTTCTGCAGACAAGCCATAGAGGTGTCCAGTGTTGGTTTAATTTAGCAGCTGGTTTGACAGAGTACCGTCTGCTGCGTTAGGTAATGTTAAATGATGTCCATGCCCCCTTGACTCTGATCAAGAGATGGCTAGAACCTGCAGGTTCCAGCTTTCCTGGGTTTAAGGGTCATTGAAGAATCCTTGTAGATAAGAGAATTGTACATTCCAGGAACTGGAGGCATAGCTAGCCTTGGAAAGCTCGGAGCGTTAGTTGAGACAACTTTAGACTTGCACATCTGTGACCTGAGTTTAAGATTTGATTCTATCTTCTAGACCTGGAGGCAGAAATAATGTTTGTGGTTATTTTTCTGGGCACTGAGACTAGGCAAAGGGAAAGAGTCCAGTACACAAGAGTGCTGTTTATAAATGGTTAACATCGTCCACAGTCCCATAGAAGAAGAATGCAATGGTATTCTCCTGTTTGGTGGTTTTTGAATTCTTTGTCTC